CATTTTAAGGCTAATGATGCATAGTTATGATCTGTACTATATATCAGTATGTTAGATTGTGTTTCCTGTATTACTATTGGCTTTACCTAATAAAACCACTGTAATTTTGTTTTTAATATATTGACCACAGACAGCTTTTGCAGTTAAAAGATAATCACGTGCACGCAGACAGGCCTCCTGGCTCAACTGGGACTTGAACCTTCTCGCTGTGAGATGACAGTGCTACCCACTGAGCCACCATGCCACCCTTCTTTAATTATTTATGCTTAATAATGTATATATTGACTTTATATCGATTATAAGCCACCCTGCTCTTTAAGATATCGTTATTGGCCATTGAAAAAACTAGTTTATCATAACTGAACATGAGCTGATTTCTGCTTTCTACTTAAGCCATTAGAACGTCATAATCATGCATAAAATGAAAGCAATGGATTTGAAATTAACATATATGTCTATGTAGTGTACAGTTGTTTGTAAATCTAAGTGGTAAACATTTAAATCTCTCAGTACTAAAATGCTGTATTTCATGTTTCCATATTTTCAGTTCACTTCAAGTGTTTGAGTTTAAGGACTGAATGGACATGGTGTTGATGACTATGTGGTATTGTGATGGTGGTGTATGTTGTATTTCAACTCTTCATGGTGTATATCTGCTTTGAATTATACTCTGTTCAACAGAGTTGGATGTGGTTCCTCCTTATTTGCATTTCATTTTGTCATTAACTTGGGTGTTTCACAAAATGGAACCCAAACAGGGACCTTCCCAAGCCAACTAGTTTATTTGAAACATGTTTTCCTCTGTTTGCGTTTACTGATGTGTCATATGAACATATTGCATTTGTGTTTCATACTTAACTGTTTATAGTTGAGCACTGACATTTCTACATTTTCAGTCTTTTCATTGTGCAATGATAAGTTAATACAAGCCTTATCTTTCTTATCTCGTGGATTCCGCATAGTAAGCCACCTTTCTTGCAGTCATTCTTACCTGTTGAGCACAAAGTCAAAGCTGAAAGGAAAATCACGGAATGAAAACAAGAAATAGGAGAAAGCATTCACACTTTTGCCTAAGACAGAGCATTATGCATAAGACTAAAACCTTTTATGACGGACAGAAAAATTCTACAAGACACTCTTTGAAACCGCAACCCTCATAACGCTAGTGTACTAAGGGGTATCGTGTCCACAGTGGACAAGTTAGTTAGAGTCGGAATGCTGGTGGAGAGAGACCTCAATGAGGAGAGAGCATTTTAGAGACAGAGATAGGCTGAACTGTGACGAAAATCTGCCACGGTTGGAAAAGCTGTTCAAAGTTTTCGTCTTTTTGCTGTCTTGGATGGAACTTCTGAACGTCCTATAACTTTTCTGTCTCTGAATTTACCATTAATTATTTGCTGTCTTTCCATTGAAGCTTTAATAGATACAGGCAGCACCTATTCTTCAATGCAAGAATCCATTTGGCATTATATCAAAGAAGGAGAGAAACACTGGCAATCTGCTAGAGGACAGACATTCTCCCTTGCCAGTAGATACCTTCAGCATGCCTCAGGAAATATAAGATTGGAATGCACAGTGCACAACCACATTTATCCCTTTAAAGCTTATATCACGAGGGACCGAGATTTGACTTTTCCATTGATTACAGATTTGAGCTCTTGAACATCTCTGGGAAGGCATGGGCTCCTACATATTCCTTAGCAAAATCTCTTCTCCTTCCCATAAGACTAATTTAACATTCAACCAGGTTGCATTTAGCATTACCTGCTGTTCAGATCAATGAGTCCACAAGAACTGCTATTAAAGAAAGCAAATGCTTTACATGCCCAGAAACGACAGTAGGAAAGTCTTCTGTTTTATTGGCCTACAGTGTGTACTGATTCCGTGGGGAGAACTTCCATCATCTAGCATCATATTAACACCAGCAACACAGTGCCAGTGAGGAAACAGGCATACCCGATACCATTTCACAAGCAAAAATTGATTGATGATGAGGAGTCTTAAGATGCTGGAAAAGGGAATATTTTGTCCATCCACTTCCCCGTGTTCTACTCCCATCATATTGGTGTAAAAAAAAAAAGGACTGTAGTTTATGCTTTTGTGTAGACTGCAGGTTCTTAAATGCAACAACTCCATTAGATGCTTTCCCTATCTCCTGGGGGCATACTTGCCTCTTTATATGGAGCCTCAGTTTCCAGCACTTTAGATCTGAAGATCTGAAGAAGTGGTTATTGGCAGGTCTGTACGGAGGAAAATAGCATCTCCAAAACTGTTTTTGAGACCACAGTCTGCACAATATGAGTTCATTTGTCTACCTTTTGGTTTGAATAATGCTGCTGCAACCTTCCAGTGATTGATGAATACCATCTTACAGAAGCTCACTGGTGATTGTTTCATGTGGTTCTCACACCTGTCCTGAAGGACCCTCTGCCCTGCACATTTTGTATGTCTCCCACATTTATCACACCTGATTCAACTCATCAGCTCATTAGTGGAGACTACAAGACCTGAAGTGGGTGTGTCAGATATAGGGAGACATACCAAACGTGCAGTGTTGGGGGTACTTCATGGAGAGGTTTGAGAACCACTGATGTAGACGATTTTGTTGTGATCTCGTCCAATGTTCAGGATCACTTTGGGCATTTAGGTTTGCAAAGTTGGAAACTTCTGGTCTAAATTTGAACTTGAAAAAATGCAACCTGTTAAAACAAAAAGTCCCTTTCCTTCCTGGGTCATATCATGTAATCTCAAAAGGAACAGTAAAGACTAAATCCTCTAAGGTAGGGTTCCTCAAATCTTGCCCTGGAGGGACCAATGCGCTGCAGAGTTTAGCTCAACCCCTGAGCAAACTCATCTACCTGTGATTTTCTAATGATCCTGAAGGCATTGATTAGCATGCGCAGGTGTGTTTGATTAGGGTTAGAGCTAAACTCTGCAGGAAAGTGGATCTCGTGGACCAAATTTGAGGATCCTTGCTCTAAGGCAGGGGTGCCCAACCCTGCTCCTGGCGATCGACTGTCCTGCAAAGTTTAGCTCCAACTCTAATCAAAGACACCTGCCTTTAATTTTTAAGTGATCCTGAAGACCCTAATTAGTTGCTTCAGGTGTGTTTGATCAGGGTTGGAGCTGAACTTTGCAGGACAGTCGATCGCCAGAAGCAGGGTTGGGCACCCCTGCTCTAAGGTCTATAACGGGGTTGACGAGTTTAGCTCCAACCCTGATCAATCACACCTGAACAAGATAATCAAGGTCTACGTATTACTAGAAAGCTACAGGTAGGCGAGTTTTGATCCTGCAGGATTGTGGCTCTCCAGGACCGATGTTGGCCACCCATGGTCTATAACAGTGGTTCTCAACTGGTTTGGCTATGGGACCCACATTTTCCCATGGTCATCAAGCCGTGACCCACTTTGTTAGGAAATATATATATATATAAAATTTGTTTAAAAAAAACAAAAACAAACTTATTTCACAAAAAAATTGTTGCCGTACAAACACAAGCACCGTCCCCCTGTACTTAACACACATAAATTGTAAGTATATGACTCATATTGATTAATAAACAGCCTATGAGGTAAGGCTAGTCCCAAAACTAGTCCCAAACTAGTTTGTCAATACAATTAGGTTGGTAAGAACCACCACAGTCATTTAAACATGTACAAAATAACACAAAGTGAAAATAGCATGGCATTTTTGGGTTATGGAAACAACAGTTAACATGGTGAATAACATGAGTCGTTACATGGAAACTGCTCCTGAATAGAATGAATATCATACCTTCATGCAAATCCTTCCCAGCTAACACACAAAGTACCAGTTATATGATTTAATGATGTTTTATTTTTATTTCACACATTGCATGCTCATAGTTTCTTTTGCGCTTTATTAGTGAAGTGATATACAGCGTGCGCCGCCGCATTTGCTCATGCAATTGAAGAGAACTTGCTACAAGCACATAAGGTCTGACAGGACAGGATAGTTTGCTTTTCTGAGGTGAGAGACTTTTTATTTCGTAACAAGTTATGAAAATAACGATAGAATAATGACACTGACCTCAAGCCTGGCAACATCTCATCTGTCCACAGATACTGAATCGGGACAGCGTGTTTTTCTCTGCCGCTCTTTACTTAAACTGCTTCTGACAAAAGTGTTAACAGCTGTCACACAAGTCTTTCAAAATAAAAGTCTCGAATCAGAAAAACAATTAGAATTATGTTTTTTATTGTTGATGTTGTTTCTTTGACTGTAAACTCCACGACCCACCAGTTGAGAAACACTGGTCTATAACTTCCCAACTCCCAAGAATGTGAAGGAAGTCCAGCCATTCCTTGGCTTGGTTTGTTGGTATTACCACTTCGTAGCTAACTTTTCTGAGCATGCAACGCCTCTTCTTGCCATAAAAAGGATGCCTTGTGGGTACGGTCTCAGGAGTGTCATTCATTTGAGAATCTAAAGGAAGCCCTGCAAAAAAAACTCCCATACTTAGACCTCCGGATTTCAGTCAGCCCTTCAGAGTGCAAACAGATACCAGTAACATCGGCTTAGGAGCTGCATTAACGCAGGAAATGTAAAGCGGTGAGAATGTAGTAGCATATGCTTCCAGGCTGCTCCAAGGTGGTGAGAAGTCATTCTCTACAGCTTTATCAAAAACAAAAGAGCATCTTATCCTCATTCACCAGCTGTGGTTCCTAAACTGCATCTTCCATTGATTTGACATCCATTCCACCCCAAACTCACAGCGCAGACCACTAAAACCAACAGGTCAATGCACCACAGAGCTTGTGGGGGAATTAACCCACAATGGTCTCTGCATATTAAACTGGGATAGTGTTTTTACAATCCAAAGAATTACACACCTCACCTTCAACAAAACTTTGGAAACAAAATTCCATTTAAATATGCTTTAAATTTGACTTATATCAAAAGAAAAAAGTGAACATGACTGATGGTATTTCCTATAGGCACTGAATATACATCAAAAACACAACAGAAGAACATGATGCTTTACAAAAAGATTTTACTCATCTGCTGGTTGAAGGCACAATTGTAAAATGCTATGGAATAAAATCATCCACAGTTGTTTTGGAGAAATATAACAAACATATAAAGACAGGCGGTTCTAGATTTGTAATCAACTCTTTCGGTCCACGAGAGCGCAAACACAGCGCAGTTTTCATGTGCTACACCACGTCACTCAGAGGTCATGCTCAGGCGTTTATCAGTCCTGTGTCACTCTGAGCCAAAGATCCAGCTGCACATCATCGCTAACACCCATCTGCCGTATTTCAGACAATATTGATGGAAGATTGTTTTACGTAACAACATCTACAGTAACAGGTTTGTTTATATATGCAGCAGAGCTGGCGATCTGATTTATCTGACCGCCGTAAACGCTGACTAACATGGACTGAGTTGTGAAAGAAACGGACATGCAGACAATCACAATATTGTAACAATGTTTGATGATTAGGCTGAAAAGAAAACACTATAAAATTAGATCCAAAACCGTAACATCAAAATTACATATATTCACAATATTGATATGACTTTCAACGATTCAACTTAACCTGCAAGTCAAAGTATTTGATTGTAAATATAAACACAAGCATTATAAATCTGAGAATCATCTTTTCCTTGGTGAGATCTGATCATTGTAAAGAGTTGTGCAGAGACAGTCCTGCTGTAGGACTTCAGATGCAGACGTGCTTTCATTTCCACCAATTTCCATCATAAAGACTGGGATGCTGTCAATTACTAATATCAATCAAACTCAAATTACATCAAGGACACAATATTCAATTCAATCAATAATTTAAAAGTTAGATATTAGTTATTCTGCCCTGTAACTGGTTTAATTCAGACCTGATGCAGAAACTCAGTCGATCTAACTTTTCTTTTGGCGTTTAGAGTGGGCTCAGTCTTGTTATGGGACGTCACTGAGAACACAGGACATCTGTGGATGAGATGTGGATTCCCGTGTGATTCTGGGAAGCTGTGGTCTGTGTCACGTGACGGCGTAAGACGCTCACACTGTCCTGGAGGGCAAGCGCTGTTTGTACATGCCAGCCAGAGCCTTGGCGGCGGAGTAGATCATCTGCCGGCGGGACATGCCAGTGAAGGCCTGGTGCCAGTCTGTGCGGCTGACGTTGGGCACGCTTCTCTCCAGAACCTCCCCGACCGTCACCAGCAGACCGGACCAGCGCAGGTTATAGTCTGGTGGAGTCAGTGCCTGCGCCTGCGAGAGAACATCACACACCAGCGTGTTAGTATGACAGCAATAAACATGCACCGCTTTAATGGGAGTTCGGTGCTCTTTAGCTGTTAGTGTAGCACTTTTCTTCATTCTGATCAGGGACTTAAACGGTTACAATGTTGCATTCTCCTCTTGGTTCGGTTCGCTTTCACTAGGCAACATTTCAAAGCTTACCGAAATGTGTTTATGCCAGTCACATGTGATTAAAACGGTCCTCTCATTGGCCATTTATTTAACAGGGACCATGTGCCAGAGTTGGCTATAATGCATCTGCAGTCCCTGTTCCTCAAAACTTCATCTATCAAGATGGATTGACAAGTTATGGCTTTATCTGTAGTCGTTACATGCACATGTATTAAAAAACAAAAAAAAGAACATACATTATATATATCACACACACACACACACACACATACATACATACAGTTTTATGAAAAAGTTTGGGCACCCCTCTGGGGCTGCATGATAATCTGCTCTATCTTAATAAGAAAAGCTGGATAATGTGACGTTATTCCTACAAAAATTCTTGGTGTAGCAGTACTGAGATGTATGAAATAAAACAGAATGTGAAAAACAGGCTGTGCCAAAGTTTGGGCACCCTTTGTTGGTTTGAATACCTGTAGTCAAATACAAGGTATTCCTTGAATACCTTTCGCTCACTGATCACAACACAGAATTGATTTGGCCGACTCAATGAACCTTACACTGCAAACACAGGTGCAACCAACCATCAACAAAGATATTTAAGGTAGCTGATTGCAAGTAGTGCTTCTCCTTGATTCTCCACTGGAAAGCAGCATCATGGAAACCTCAAAAGAACTCCCTAATGACCATGCTGCTGATTTCTCAGCACAAGCAAACTTCTCCAGAGCTCGGTATCCATCGGACCGAGACCACCTTGTTCAGGCGAGCTCAGATTGAGTATTCTGGTTGCTGTGTTCACGTGTGCCCAAACAAACTGAACTGAGGGAGAATATGCAGAAAATGGCAGAGGATCAACCCTCTAAATAAGCCAGGTGTGAAAACGCGCTCAGCCACCCGTGACGGGCATCACTCTAAACAGCTACTCAGACCTGATGCAGTGTTACCTGCTGTATGTGCTCCAGGGCCACAGGTGTAGCCTGAGTGAACATCTCAATGTGAATCCCGATTCCTGGATCATCCAAGATCAGACAGCCGATGTCAAACCACCTGACGGAGAGAGCATGCACAAGGACACTCAGTTTCTCCTATTATGACATGATAAATCTCACGAGTGTCTTCAGAGCTCAACATGAAGCTCTTCCAGGAACATCTGCTTCATTAGCAAAACCAGGCATCACTGACTGAATCCCACACTCTCGCAAATTCTCTCATTATGAACAACAAGGTGCAGATATGATGTGAGATTAATTGTGCAGTGTAGACAGCTTCAGTGAAGATAACGGGATTTTTGTGATAGTGATTGAAGTCTGCTTCAGTGATGGGGAACGTTCTTCGCTCGCTTTCTTATACAAGTTAATCCCAGTTTGAATAACTATTTTGTTTTTCATGCTATTAAGATAACCAATATGAAGTCTAATGAGATCTAAAGAGTAAAAAGCAATCAACTAACTGATCAATGATTCCGGAGGTCCTCCTTTGCAGTTAAAGATGGCTTTTGTTGACGATAATAACAGTTGATTGGTAACAGTATATAGTATTCTGATCGATTGAAGTGATCGGTCCAGGATAACCACATTTGCAAAAGTGCAGAATTGTGGAATTCAGTCTGCGATCGCCTCGTATTGTGACGCCTCAGTCTATAGTATTCTGATTAACTGAAGTTATTACTATAACAAGAATATGACAAAAGACAACACATACGTTTAATAAGATAATTATAAAAACTGCCCTTACAAAGGTACAAATTTTGAAAAAAAAATATTGTCCATTAATGGAAAAGTTCTGACCCAGATTCAGGTCCAGTCGGATGGATGGGACTTATCCACATCCACAGAGACGCTTTAGAGCTGTGGGTGAAGCGTTCTTACTTGTCTGGGAAGAGTTCTGCGATGAAGTTTTCCACCGAGACCACGGGCTGCTTCTCATGAATGACAGCAGAACGACGCAGACTGTCAATGCGCTCCTGAGCTCCCTACACACACACACACACACACACACACACAAGCTTCAGATGAATTCATATGGTTTGAAGTCAGTTTTATTTTTATTTCACACATTGCATGCTCATAGTTTCTTTTGCGCTTTATTAGTGAAGTGATATACAGCGTGCGCCGCCGCATTTGCTCATGCAATTGAAGAGAACTTGCTACAAGCACATAAGGTCTGACAGGACAGGATAGTTTGCTTTTCTGAGGTGAGAGACTTTTTATTTCGTAACAAGTTATGAAAATAACGATAGAATAATGACACTGACCTCAAGCCTGGCAACATCTCATCTGTCCACAGATACTGAATCGGGACAGCGTGTTTTTCTCTGCCGCTCTTTACTTAAACTGCATCTGACAAAAGTGTTAACAGCTGTCGCACGTCTTTCAAAATAAAAGTCTCGCATCAGAAAAACAATTAGAATTATGTTTTTTATTGTTGATGTTGTTTCTTTGACTGTAAACTCCACGACCCACCAGTTGAGAAACACTGGTCTATAACTTCCCAACTCCCAAGAATGTGAAGGAAGTCCAGCCATTCCTTGGCTTGGTTTGTTGGTATTACCACTTCGTAGCTAACTTTTCTGAGCATGCAACGCCTCTTCTTGCCATAAAAAGGATGCCTTGTGGGTACGGTCTCAGGAGTGTCATTCATTTAAGAATCTAAAGGAAGCCCTGCAAAAAAAACTCCCATACTTAGACCTCCGGATTTCAGTCAGCCCTTCAGAGTGCAAACAGATACCAGTAACATCGGCTTAGGAGCTGCATTAACGCAGGAAATGTAAAGCGGTGAGAATGTAGTAGCATATGCTTCCAGGCTGCTCCAAGGTGGTGAGAAGTCATTCTCTACAGCTTTATCAAAAACAAAAGAGCATCTTATCCTCATTCACCAGCTGTGGTTCCTAAACTGCATCTTCCATTGATTTGACATCCATTCCACCCCAAACTCACAGCGCAGACCACTAAAACCAACAGGTCAATGCACCACAGAGCTTGTGGGGGAATTAACCCACAATGGTCTCTGCATATTAAACTGGGATAGTGTTTTTACAATCCAAAGAATTACACACCTCACCTTCAACAAAACTTTGGAAACAAAATTCCATTTAAATATGCTTTAAATTTGACTTATATCAAAAGAAAAAAGTGAACATGACTGATGGTATTTCCTATAGGCACTGAATATACATCAAAAACACAACAGAAGAACATGATGCTTTACAAAAAGATTTTACTCATCTGCTGGTTGAAGGCACAATTGTAAAATGCTGTGAAGTGATATACAGCGTGCGCCGCCGCATTTGCTCATGCAATTGAAGAGAACTTGCTACAAGCACATAAGGTCTGACAGGACAGGATAGTTTGCTTTTCTGAGGTGAGAGACTTTTTATTTCGTAACAAGTTATGAAAATAACGATAGAATAATGACACTGACCTCAAGCCTGGCAACATCTCATCTGTCCACAGATACTGAATCGGGACAGCGCGTTTTTCTCTGCCGCTCTTTACTTAAACTGCTTCTGACAAAAGTGTTAACAGCTGTCACACAAGTCTTTCAAAATAAAAGTCTCGAATCAGAAAAACAATTAGAATTATGTTTTTTATTGTTGATGTTGTTTCTTTGACTGTAAACTCCACGACCCACCAGTTGAGAAACACTGGTCTATAACTTCCCAACTCCCAAGAATGTGAAGGAAGTCCAGCCATTCCTTGGCTTGGTTTGTTGGTATTACCACTTCGTAGCTAACTTTTCTGAGCATGCAACGCCTCTTCTTGCCATAAAAAGGATGCCTTGTGGGTACGGTCTCAGGAGTGTCATTCATTTGAGAATCTAAAGGAAGCCCTGCAAAAAAAACTCCCATACTTAGACCTCCGGATTTCAGTCAGCCCTTCAGAGTGCAAACAGATACCAGTAACATCGGCTTAGGAGCTGCATTAACGCAGGAAATGTAAAGCGGTGAGAATGTAGTAGCATATGCTTCCAGGCTGCTCCAAGGTGGTGAGAAGTCATTCTCTACAGCTTTATCAAAAACAAAAGAGCATCTTATCCTCATTCACCAGCTGTGGTTCCTAAACTGCATCTTCCATTGATTTGACATCCATTCCACCCCAAACTCACAGCGCAGACCACTAAAACCAACAGGTCAATGCACCACAGAGCTTGTGGGGGAATTAACCCACAATGGTCTCTGCATATTAAACTGGGATAGTGTTTTTACAATCCAAAGAATTACACACCTCACCTTCAACAAAACTTTGGAAACAAAATTCCATTTAAATATGCTTTAAATTTGACTTATATCAAAAGAAAAAAGTGAACATGACTGATGGTATTTCCTATAGGCACTGAATATACATCAAAAACACAACAGAAGAACATGATGCTTTACAAAAAGATTTTACTCATCTGCTGGTTGAAGGCACAATTGTAAAATGCTATGGAATAAAATCATCCACAGTTGTTTTGGAGAAATATAACAAACATATAAAGACAGGCGGTTCTAGATTTGTAATCAACTCTTTCGGTCCACGAGAGCGCAAACACAGCGCAGTTTTCATGTGCTACACCACGTCACTCAGAGGTCATGCTCAGGCGTTTATCAGTCCTGTGTCACTCTGAGCCAAAGATCCAGCTGCACATCATCGCTAACACCCATCTGCCGTATTTCAGACAATATTGATGGAAGATTGTTTTACGTAACAACATCTACAGTAACAGGTTTGTTTATATATGCAGCAGAGCTGGCGATCTGATTTATCTGACCGCCGTAAACGCTGACTAACATGGACTGAGTTGTGAAAGAAACGGACATGCAGACAATCACAATATTGTAACAATGTTTGATGATTAGGCTGAAAAGAAAACACTATAAAATTAGATCCAAAACCGTAACATCAAAATTACATATATTCACAATATTGATATGACTTTCAACGATTCAACTTAACCTGCAAGTCAAAGTATTTGATTGTAAATATAAACACAAGCATTATAAATCTGAGAATCATCTTTTCCTTGGTGAGATCTGATCATTGTAAAGAGTTGTGCAGAGACAGTCCTGCTGTAGGACTTCAGATGCAGACGTGCTTTCATTTCCACCAATTTCCATCATAAAGACTGGGATGCTGTCAATTACTAATATCAATCAAACTCAAATTACATCAAGGACACAATATTCAATTCAATCAATAATTTAAAAGTTAGATATTAGTTATTCTGCCCTGTAACTGGTTTAATTCAGACCTGATGCAGAAACTCAGTCGATCTAACTTTTCTTTTGGCGTTTAGAGTGGGCTCAGTCTTGTTATGGGACGTCACTGAGAACACAGGACATCTGTGGATGAGATGTGGATTCCCGTGTGATTCTGGGAAGCTGTGGTCTGTGTCACGTGACGGCGTAAGACGCTCACACTGTCCTGGAGGGCAAGCGCTGTTTGTACATGCCAGCCAGAGCCTTGGCGGCGGAGTAGATCATCTGCCGGCGGGACATGCCAGTGAAGGCCTGGTGCCAGTCTGTGCGGCTGACGTTGGGCACGCTTCTCTCCAGAACCTCCCCGACCGTCACCAGCAGACCGGACCAGCGCAGGTTATAGTCTGGAGGAGTCAGTGCCTGCGCCTGCGGGAGAACATCACACACCAGCGTGTTAGTATGACAGCAATAAACATGCACCGCTTTAATGGGAGTTCGGTGCTCTTTAGCTGTTAGTGTAGCACTTTTCTTCATTCTGATCAGGGACTTAAACGGTTACAATGTTGCATTCTCCTCTTGGTTCGGTTCGCTTTCACTAGGCAACATTTCAAAGCTTACCGAAATGTGTTTATGCCAGTCACATGTGATTAAAACGGTCCTCTCATTGGCCATTTATTTAACAGGGACCATGTGCCAGAGTTGGCTATAATGCATCTGCAGTCCCTGTTCCTCAAAACTTCATCTATCAAGATGGATTGACAAGTTATGGCTTTATCTGTAGTCGTTACATGCACATGTATTAAAAAACAAAAAAAAGAACATACATTATATATATCACACACACACACACACACACATACATACAGTTTTATGAAAAAGTTTGGGCACCCCTCTGGGGCTGCATGATAATCTGCTCTATCTTAATAAGAAAAGCTGGATAATGTGACGTTATTCCTACAAAAATTCTTGGTGTAGCAGTACTGAGATGTATGAAATAAAACAGAATGTGAAAAACAGGCTGTGCCAAAGTTTGGGCACCCTTTGTTGGTTTGAATACCTGTAGTCAAATACAAGGTATTCCTTGAATACCTTTCGCTCACTGATCACAACACAGAATTGATTTGGCCGACTCAATGAACCTTACACTGCAAACACAGGTGCAACCAACCATCAACAAAGATATTTAAGGTAGCTGATTGCAAGTAGTGCTTCTCCTTGATTCTCCACTGGAAAGCAGCATCATGGAAACCTCAAAAGAACTCCCTAATGACCATGCTGCTGATTTCTCAGCACAAGCAAACTTCTCCAGAGCTCGGTATCCATCGGACCGAGACCACCTTGTTCAGGCGAGCTCAGATTGAGTATTCTGGTTGCTGTGTTCACGTGTGCCCAAACAAACTGAACTGAGGGAGAATATGCAGAAAATGGCAGAGGATCAACCCTCTAAATAAGCCAGGTGTGAAAACGCGCTCAGCCACCCGTGACGGGCATCACTCTAAACAGCTACTCAGACCTGATGCAGTGTTACCTGCTGTATGTGCTCCAGGGCCACAGGTGTAGCCTGAGTGAACATCTCAATGTGAATCCCGATTCCTGGATCATCCAAGATCAGACAGCCGATGTCAAACCACCTGACGGAGAGAGCATGCACAAGGACACTCAGTTTCTCCTATTATGACATGATAAATCTCACGAGTGTCTTCAGAGCTCAACATGAAGCTCTTCCAGGAACATCTGCTTCATTAGCAAAACCAGGCATCACTGACTGAATCCCACACTCTCGCAAATTCTCTCATTATGAACAACAAGGTGCAGATATGATGTGAGATTAATTGTGCAGTGTAGACAGCTTCAGTGAAGATAACGGGATTTTTGTGATAGTGATTGAAGTCTGCTTCAGTGATGGGGAACGTTCTTCGCTCGCTTTCTTATACAAGTTAATCCCAGTTTGAATAACTATTTTGTTTTTCATGCTATTAAGATAACCAATATGAAGTCTAATGAGATCTAAAGAGTAAAAAGCAATCAACTAACTGATCAATGATTCCGGAGGTCCTCCTTTGCAGTTAAAGATGGCTTTTGTTGACGATAATAACAGTTGATTGGTAACAGTATATAGTATTCTGATCGATTGAAGTGATCGGTCCAGGATAACCACATTTGCAAAAGTGCAGAATTGTGGAATTCAGTCTGCGATCGCCTCGTATTGTGACGCCTCAGTCTATAGTATTCTGATTAACTGAAGTTATTACTATAACAAGAATATGACAAAAGACAACACATACGTTTAATAAGATAATTATAAAAACTGCCCTTACAAAGGTACAAATTTTGAAAAAAAAATATTGTCCATTAATGGAAAAGTTCTGACCCAGATTCAGGTCCAGTCGGATGGATGGGACTTATCCACATCCACAGAGACGCTTTAGAGCTGTGGGTGAAGCGTTCTTACTTGTCTGGGAAGAGTTCTGCGATGAAGTTTTCCACCGAGACCACGGGCTGCTTCTCATGAATGACAGCAGAACGACGCAGACTGTCAATGCGCTCCTGAGCTCCCTACACACACACACACACACACACACACACACAAGCTTCAGATGAATTCATATGGTTTGAAGTCACATGAGTCAGTGTTTCCTGTAATATCACAGTTGTGAAATGGTTTCTTGTCATGACTCTCCACATGAAGCAGAAGTGTGCTCACCTTGACCCCTGCGGCGTATCCCACCGGCTGCGGGGCGATGTTGGACTGACCGGCCTCTCCCGTCACCATGGCCAAACCAAACACCTCCTGAAACGCATCCCGCACCGCTGACACCTTCACCTCCTTATCTGACGTCACAACGATGTCCACATCTCCTCCAGACTCTGACACAGACACCATTTAATGACATAAATCACATGAACAGAGTAACGGTTCGGTACAGTACGATTACAGATTCCTCAGCACAGGTAATGAACCATGGAAACGGAGCAGCTTTAGCGATGCATCTGACACATACAACTAGGGCTGCACGATAAATTGAAATGGAATCGCGATCACGATTCGACAGAAGCTGTGATTGTCGTGCGTATCTCTCAGTGAAGCACGGTTCTGTGATCAGCAGTAAATCTCCATCCAAAGGCCAGAGGGCGCTCTCTCGCTGAAACTCCAAATACGCCTCGCAGAAGAAACCCAGAAAATGGCAATCGCTGCAGCTGAATAAACAGAAGATTCAACTGCTTTCATTGATTCAACGTGACTAATAAACACACGACTATGTAGGGCTGGACAATAATTCAATATCAATATGTATCGCGATATAATTTTTTTCAATAACGGTGATATGATTTTTAAACACATTTCCGATATTTCGATATACATTACCAGTGTTTCCCATACATTGATGTATTTGTGGCGTTTGACTTCGTTGAATAAACATGAGCACTGCACGTTTCAAAATCAAAACGCGTCGCGGGTGTTTTATATGAATGTATCTCTGAAGGGAACCGACTGTCTTCAGAATAGTTTAGATGGCATGTTTATCTGATAAAGTAGCGTTCATGAGCGGAGCTGCTGTTTACAGCCGTTACTGGAGAACCCGTTAGTTCCACCGCTCTCACAGCGCCTCCTGCTGGCAGACAAGCAGTTTGCATTTTCAATAATAAACCCATTTCCAGCAACATGCTTTTGTTGTTGCTCTTTTTTTGTTTTCTGAAGCAACTCGGAGCATGTTTCATAATCGTTTACCTGGTTAATGAATAATAAAATTTTCTGACGATGCAACAATGACCCGATTAGGCAAGTGACTATTGTCAACTGTCCCGAAACGTGAGTGAAAGTCTTGTATCTCAGCGTGCAGCGGCTCTTGTAGCGCAGACATGATGCGCCGATGTGAAGCCGTTTGAAGAGAAAGTCAAAGAGAGAAGACGCGTACAGCTGAATCACTCACGCTGTTTTCAAATGACTGATTTGATCAATCTGTGTGGACACATTTATAATGTTACAAAAGATTTCTATTTCAGATAAATGCTGTTCTTCTAAAGCTCTGCTCTGAAATCACAGGAATAAATTATAAGTTATTTTAAATAGTAAAATTATTTCAAAATGTTACTGTTTTTGCTGTACTTTGGATCAAATAAATGCAGGCTTGGGGAGCAGAAGATAATTCTTTAAAAAACATGAAAAATCTTACTGTTCAAAAACTGTTGACTGGTATGTTAGCCTATAGTTTGAAGTAAAAAATATTAATATTAATAAGGAGAGTCTGAGATTTATTTGACAGTGATTTCACATTTCTTGTTTGTATGAAGCCTGAATACCAATAAAAGGTGAACATTTTTTTCCTAAAATATTATATAGTTTTATAGGAGTAGGTTTCAACATGAAAAATCTTACTGTTCAAAAACTTTGACTGGTATGTTAGCCTATAGTTTGAAGTAAAAAATATTAATATTAATAAGGAGAGTCTGAGATTTATTTGACAGTGATTTCACATTTCTTGATTGTATGAAGCCTGAATACCAATATTTATTTCCTAAAATATTATATAGTTTTATAGGAGTAGGTTTGATAGAGTTGGCAAATTAATTTTTCATAAGTTTGTAGGTACAGACATCTGTTGTGGCGTTCTTGGCCGTTTTTATGAGGCTTTTTTAATAGTGTTCATATCGATATATCGTAATTATATCGTATCGACCGAAATTAAGAAATATATCATGATATAAATTTTGGCCATATCGTCCAGCCCTACAACTACGGCAATATACGGTTTATCTGAGTTCTTATTATAATATTCATTAAAATAAAGTATATTTATAATGCAATGCCTTTATCACTGCTTAAATACTATGAAATATGTTGCGTGCCTTATTCTGTGTAAGAAGCCACATCATCTCACAGAAGGGTTTATTTCAAACACTGCGACTGATGTTATGAAGTGAGTTTGGAGTAAAACATGTTATTAAATGTGGTGCTTTCACACGCTTTCAAATAAGAGCAGCATTTAGCCGTAGTTCACTGAGAAGGTACGCAAGCAGCTGTCATTATCACAAACAATTTCTTCGATTTCATAATCACACAATAATATCGTCTGTAATTTTTTTGCGTAACTTGTCAGTGAACTACGGCTCTGTAGTAAATGCTGCTCCATCTGAAAGCACGTGATGATGATTTCCTGCTGATTACAGAACCGGCTTTACTAACAAAATGTGCAATGACAATCGTATTCGATTAATCGTGCAGCCCTACATACAACTAGCAGTTTCATATTGTTTGAATCATCATGTGACGAGGTGCGGTGATGGGCAGGTTTGTGGATAAAGAGAGTAAAATAAAAAAGTGAAAAGAAATCAAAATGGAAGCTGCAGCAATGAACAAACTAAATTTAAACAAACTTGCACAGAAGCAGTGAAATGTTCCATACTGCTGGACACACACACACACACACACACACACACGTCTGGGGACTCTCCATAGGCGTAATGGTTTTTATACTGTACAGACCGTATATTCTATTGCCCTACACCAACCCTACACCTAAACCTACCCCTCACAGGAGACTTTCTGCATTTTTACAATCTCAAAAAAACTAAATTCTGTATGATTTATAAGCTTCTGTAGCCATGGGGACCTCAATTTAGGTCCTCACCATGAGTTGGTGTGTATTCAGGTTTAAGTCCCCATCAGTGTAGAAACACATGTACTCACACAGACACACACACTCACTGATGTACGGTGCCATCCCAGGGTCCAGTGTGGTTATCATGGACTCCACAGAGTGTTTGGTTTTATCCAGGACGGTCTTGACCATGGGGTTCCCGGCTACACCCTGAGATCACAACACAAGTGCATCAGGATGTGCACGGAAACAACAGCATACAGTCGTGGCCTTACACTGTAAACGTGCGTCCAGTAGTGTTCATTTTGTCAGCTATTTTGAATTTAGTCTCAGTCTTGTCTCAAATTTAACTTTTAGTTTTTATCATATTTAGTCAACTTGTCCTGTTTTAGTTTTAGTCAAGTTTCAGTCGATTAAATGTCTGAGAACTTTAGTCTAGATTTAGTCAGTGGAAACTTACACATTTTCGTCATATTTCCGTCTTACTGTATAATGGTTAAAATGGTAATATATATATAAATAGATAAATATTTTCCATATTATCATTAGGGAAATGTATTTTTACATTTCATCAGAAGTTGCTCTTTCACCAATAAGCACAAGTCAACAGAATATTGACTTGTGTGCATGGTTTATTTTACCTCACCTAACGTAAGTGTACAGATTTATAGCAGGACATCAATTAGAGGCTAGATAAACACCAGACTTCAGATATACCCTCGCCCTGTCTACGTTATGAAAACTGCTGTAACAAAAACCTACTCTCAAATATTATAACAGAGAAACTCCTAAGAGTAATTTCAATAATTCCAAATTGCATTAATGTTTCTCTTTAAAAACAACAGCAAAAACACGTATTGCTGCACAGAGGTTGTGTAAGTAATGTTACAATCAGCAAACAATACAGTGGAGATCCCTGACAGAACACAGACTGCTGAAGGACCCTTTCATTCAAACGCAGATCGCTGAACTCCAGCTTACTCGTACAGTACTGCATGTCAGTGTTTCAGATCACGGCGCCGCCGCAGAGAGAGAGAGAGTGCGTGTGAATGGTTGCCAGATTGCAGAAAGCAAAGAACCGGGCAGAGTAACGTATCCGTTTAACATTCACAAACATGAACGCTCGCATAATAGAGTCTTGTACAGCAGTCTGAAATGTTTTGGCTCCACTTTTTTCAACAAAAATAAAAAAGTTTTTTGTAAAGTTTTTGTTCTTTTAACTACATTTTAGTCTCGCCTTTTTTCGTCAACGATATCGCATGCTCTTTTAGTCTCAGTTATCGTTTCATGACCTTATTAGCGTTTTCGTCAGGGGAAAAAACTTTGTTGACGAACATTTTTCATTATAGTTTTCATTGAGGAAATGAACAGTAGTGTCCAGTACCTTGATGAAGCCCCATAATCCTCCAGGTGAGCTGCTGTCTGGAGTCCCTCTGGGGTCGTCAGAGTCCTCAGGAAACGTGATGGGCGAGCTGACGTCTATCCCTCCGGACACCGGCTGCTGCATCATGGGATTGCTGACGATCCCTGCAGAAACACAATGAATCTGAATGATAGGATACTGCTGCCAGTGATGACCCATCATCCCCTTGTAGGCAACCACATGCTTGAAGTTATTCATTTTGCACAAAACACGCCAAAACCATCTCCATATTAGGCTTTTGTGACTGAATGAATCCATGTTTTTGAACAAATCAACTGAATGACCCATTTTAAAAAGGGTCACTTGCTTCACTCCTGAATGAATCGGATATTTTGAACGAATCATTTGAATGAATGATTCACTAACTCATTATGACAGGGACTTGCAGACCTGTTGTGGTTTTAGTTTCAAATGTAAATACACCCAAATGCCACCTCAGATGCAGTTTCTGTGCCACTTCTGCAGTGCAAAGATGGGTCTTGTTGATACTGGATTAATTTGATTGGCAACAGCCAACAGTGTCTTCGAGCTGAATGTGATTAGATGTAAGAATTTGACATTTGATTAGGTAAAAATGCCCTTGGAAATCAATTTTTAAATGTAAAAGTTCATTTCTATCAAAGAACATGAAACGCTTCGGAAGTCAATTTCACACACGCCGATCTGTTTGTGGTTGTAGTGACCAGATGACAGAAGGTTGTAGTTCTAGCTGAAGATGATGGAGAGCTTCAGACCTGGCATGGGTGAGGCGCTGGAGAAACTGGGCATGAGTGGCGTCTGAGGGGTGCGGCCCGCGTGGCCACGGGTGATGTCATATCCTGCACTCACAGAGAAGCCAGTGGTGGGCGGGCCCATCGGGGGGGCAGCGGGGCTAGCGTACGGGCCGCTCAGAGAGAGAGGAGGAGCAGATGACTGGATGGGCGGCAGCGTGGAGGTCAAAGCCACTGGAGGAACAGGGCTGGAAAACCCTCCCGGGGCAAAAGCAGAGACACCGGGGGAGCTGGAGAGAGTCTGAGGACCGGAGACACCTGAACACGAGAAGAGCACACATGAACCACTGATACAGGGCCAACAGACACGAGACTGGGCACTTTCATGAATGACCTTCACCATCATATTACACAACGATACACCTGAGGCAGGGTAGACAGCATACCCAATTTTGTGTGTGTGTCTGTAAGTGTGTGTGTGTGTCTGTATGTGTACATGCGTGTTGTCGTCTGTATGCGTGTGTGTCTGTAAGTGTCTGTATGTGTGTGTGTCTGTATGCGTATGTGTGTGCGTGTGTGCATCTGTATGTCTGTCTGTGCGTGTGTGTCTGTCTGTGCGTGTGCGTCTGTCTGTATGTGTGTGCGTGTGTCTGTGTGCGTGTGTGTCTGTGCGTGTGTGTCTGTGCGTGTGTGTGTATGTGTACATGCATGTGTGTCTGTAAGCGTATGTGTGTGTGTGTCTGTGCGTCTGTAAGTGTCTGTATGCGTGTGTGTGTGTTGCGTGTGTGTGTGTGCATCTGAATGTCTGTGCGTGTGTGTGTGTGCATCTGTATGTCTGTGCGTGTGTGTGCATCTGTATGTCTGTGCGCGTGTGTCTGTGCGGGTATGTGCGCGTGTGTGTGTGTCTGTGCGCGTCTGTGCGCGTATGTGCGCGTGTGTGCGTGTCTGTGCGTGCGCGCGCGTCTGTGCGTGCGTGCGCGCGCGTCTGTGCGTGCGTGCGCGCGCGTCTGTGCGTGCGTGCGCGCGCGTCTGTGCGTGTGCGTCTGTCTGTATGTGTGTGCGTGTGTCTGTGTGCGTGTGTGTCTGTGCGTGTGTGTCTGTGCGTGTGTGTCTGTGTGTGTGTGTGTG